GGCTGTCGGCAGCACAAGCTACAATAACCCTCTGGGTTTCCAATTTGGCATTTAGGGTTTAGGGTTTAGGGTTCAGCGTTTAGGATTTCCACCGCGCGTCAGGGGCGCCGCATGCAGGCCCAGCAGCAGCAGCAGCAGCAGCAGCAGCAGGAAGGCCTCAGGCGCTGCACCTTTGCATGCTGCTGCTGTGAGCAGCAAACCCTAAATCCCAAATTTTAAACGCTAAACCCTAAACCCTAAACCCTCATTCCTCAGCCCCACAGCCAAAACCCTAACGCCAGCTTGCCCTTACGCATGTCTGCAGCTGCCGAGCCAGGGTTTAGGGTTTGCCGGCGCAGCAAGACAGCCAAACTCGCTCTTCCATGCTCTAGGGTTTAGGGTTTAGAGAGCAAATAGGGGTAAAAAAGCAAAGTAGCGTGCACACCGGGGGCTGCTGCTGCTGCAGCAGCCGCAGCAGCAGCTGCTGCTGCTAGGGCGCTGCAAGTGGCTGTTGAAGGCCTGTGCAGCTAATATGGGGCAGCAGCAGCAACGCAGCTTCGGCTAACCGGAGCTGCTGCAGCTGCTGCTGCTGCAGCTGCTGCTGCTGCAGCTGCTGCAGCTGCTGCTGCTGCAGCTGCTGCTGCTGCAGCTGCTGCTGCTGCAGCTGCTGCTCGGTTGGAAACTGCTACGTCAGCACTACCTACAGCAGAAGTAAAGTTGGGCTGTTGCAGCTGCTGTTGCAGCTGCTGTTGCAGCTGCTGTTTCAGCTGCTGCTGTTGCAGCTGCTGCTGTTGCAGCTGCTGCTGTTGCTGCGGCAGCTGCAACGGCTGTTGCAGATCCCTCAACCTGCTGGCCGCTTTTGCTGTTCTGCCCAGAAAGCTTAACTCCACTGCTGCTGCTGCTGCTGCTGCGGTTTTGCTCTCCACAGCGGTTGCTGCTGCTGCTGCTGTGGTGTGCTGGAAGGCGCTGGTGCAGCGGCAGCTGCAGCAGTTGCTGCTGCGTTTCCTGCTGCTGCTGCTGCTGTTGTGGTGTAGCTTCTGGTTATGGTTAGTCTGCCGCAGCTGCTGCCATCGCCGATGCTCCTGCTGCTGCTGCTGCTGGAATACCCTACAGGGAACTGCTGCTGCTGCAGCCAGCTGCTGGGGGAGGCCCTTGCAGGCCGGCCAGCAGCAGGTCCAGCAACAGCAGCAGCGCCAGTAGCAGCAGCAGCGCCAGCAGCAGCAGCAGCAGGTGAGGCAGCAAGCGCAGCAGCAGCAGCAGGCGTTGCGTTTGCCGCGCCGTTATCACGCAGTTTTGTTGGCGTAGCAACAGCAGCAGCAGCAGCTGCTGCTGCTGCAGTACCAGCAGCAGCAGCCGCTGAACTAGCAGGTGCGTCAGCAGCACCCAACTTAGGTTGTACAGCAGCAGCTGCGACGTTCTCCTGATCTGCAGCAGCAGCAGCAGCAGCACTAAGTTTGTTGCTGCTACCCAGCTGCCACTCCCTGGGTACACGAGCAGCAAGAAGCTGCTTCTGCTGCTGGAGCAGCTCCAGCCGCCGCAGCAGCAACTTGTGCTGCCGCTGCAGCTGCTGCAGCTCCCACTCCTCCTCTGACTCCTGCTGCTCCCCGCAGCTGTGCTGCAGCTGTTGCTGCTGCTGCTGCTGCTGCTGCTGGCGAGCTTGCGGCTTGCTGGTCCTCTCTGCAGCTGAATGGCAGGGAGCAGCAGCTTCTGGTGCTGCTGCTGCAGCTGCTGCTGCTGTTGCTGCTTCGCCTGTCGCACGTGCTGCTGCTGTGCTAGCCCCTGTGACTAATGCTGCTGCTACTGGTACTGCTGTTGCTGCTGCTGCAGCTGCTGCTTCCGATGCTGCTGCTGCTGCTGCTGCTGGAAGCCCCTCGCTAAGATGCACGCTGTGAGACCTGCACAGCACAGACCGAGAAAACCCTAAACCCTAAACCCTAAACCCTAGCCCCAGCTCCTAGGCCCAGTAGCAGCATGCTGCACCATTGCAAAGAAGAGAAAACACTTCACAGGGCTTTAAACGAGTGTTTAGGGTTTAGGATTTGGGCTTAATGTTTCAGGGTTTAGGGTTTAGGGTTTAGGGTTTGACTCGGACAAGTCCCCAAGGTGAGTGTAGCTGCTCTCGCTGCAGCTTTGCTGCCGCTGCAGCAGCCGCCTTCGAGTAGCGGTGCTGATGAATTTGCTTCCTGCTGCTGCTGCTGGCGCTGCTGCTGCTGCTGCTGCTGCTGGCGCTGCTGCTGCTGCTTGGGCCCTCTTGGCTTCTGCTGCTGCAGCAGCCTCTCTCATACGCTGCAGCAGTTAAATCGCAAGCAGCAGCAGTAGCAGCAGCATTAGCAGCAGCAGCAACAGCAGCGACAACAGCAAGGCAGCAACAGTAGCAGCAGCAGCAAGAGCATCAGCAATCACAAATTAACCAAAAGAAGAGCTGGGTCAACTTATACCATTAATACCACTGCTGCTGCTGCTGCTGCTGCTGCTGCTGCTGTTGCCTACCTGCGCACGCTCCTCCTCACACTTGCGTACCATGAGCCGCCGCAGCAGCGGCTGCTGCTGCTGCTGCTGCTGCTGCCGCTTCTTGTCTGCCAGAGCTGCTGCAGCTGCTGCTGCTCGCAGCAGGCTTTGCTGCTGCTGTTGCTGCTGCCGCACTAGGCGTTGCTGCTCCGCCTGCAGCAGCGCAGCCACCCTTCGAACTCAGACTTCATTGTGCAGACAGCTAGGGTTTAGGGTTTAGGGTTTAGGGTTTGGGGTTTGAAGCTGAGCACCTCTTGGCTTTGGCGCTCAAGTTCAGTGGACAGCTGCAGCTGCAGCAGAGCCCGCAGCTGCTGCTGCAGCAGCAGCTGCTGCTGCTGCTGCAGCAATTCCTGCTCCTCCTGCTGCTGCTGCAGCTCTTGTCGCTTCTTTCGTTGCTCCTCCTGCAGCAGGCGCTGCTGCTGCAGCGCAAACAGCACCAGCAGCAGCAGCAGCAGAAGTGCACAGATTGTCTGCAAACAGCTAGGGTTTAGGGTTTGAAATTTAGTGCTGAGGGTTTACTTGGACTCTTCTCTTCTCTTCTTGTGCGTGCTGCTGCCTTGCTGCAACACGACGACGAATTATCTGCTGTTGCTGCTGCTGCTGCTGCTGCTGTTGCTGCTGCTGCTGCCGTCTTAGACTGCGGTGTGTAGCCTGCTGCGATGAAGTGCCTTGAGCTGCGGGTGAATAAAGTTGCTGCTGCTGCTGCTGTTGCTGTTCTTCGTTGGTGTGCAGAAGCAGCTGCTGCTGCTCCAACTTCAGCTGCTGCAGTTGTTGCTGCTGCAGCTGCAGCTGCTGCTGCTTGTCCTCCCTGGTGTGCAGCAGCAGTTGCTGCAGCAAGAGATGGTCATACTGCTGCTGTTGCTGCTGCTCGTGTTGCTTCGGAGCAGCAGCAGGGGTGGCGGCTGCTGCCTGGCTGTTTGCTGCTGCAGGGGGAGCAGCAGCAGCAGCAACTGCTGCTGCTGCTGCTGCTGCTACTGCGTCAGGGGGGAGGTTAAGGATATGATATAAGGACAGTGGGTGTCGCCTCATGCCGCTGTAAACCCTAAACCCTCCTAGGGTTTAGGATCTAGGGTTTAGGGTTTGGGGTCTCGGGTTTGGGGTTTAGGGTTTAGGACCCAAACTGGGTATTCTCACAGCGCACACAGTTGTCCCCCTCGATGTGCTGCCGCACAGATCGAGGCCTTGGGTCTAGGGTTTAGGGTTTAGGGTTTAGGGTTTAGGGTTTAGGGTTTAGGGTTAGGACGGTGGGGTTGTGTTACACGTTCGCGACGAGGCGTACATACACCCCGGAGAAAGTGCTCTGTGCAGCAAGGAAAAAAACAAAACAATTCATTTTCAGTTTTCTACGCTTTAGGGTTTAGGGTTTAGGGTTTAGGGCTTAGGGCCGATACTGCAGCCAGTGTCGGCTGGCGCTTCTGGCTTGGGCCCCTAGGGCTTCGCAGCCGCTAAGCTAAACCCTAAACCCTAAACCCTAAACCCTAAACCCTGCTCCGTACACACTAAACCCTAAATCCTAAACACTCCATCTTTTAACTTTCAACTCTTTTTAAGCCCTTAACGGGCGCTGCGTCTCCTTTGCTTCTTCGTCGTCGGCATCAAGGGTTTAAGGTTTAGGGTTAAGGGTTTAGGGTTTAGGGTTTAGGGTTTAGGGTTTAGGGGTCCAGTCTGCAAGTACATATCCAGTACGGTTTAAACAAGAGCCTCGCCATTCCGCTTGTGCGCCCTGTGCGGCTCCAGCGCGTAGGGCTGAGGGTTTAGGGTTTAGGGTTTAGGGTTTAGGGTTTGGGAGATGTCTCGCCGCGCCCAAGTCTTGTTATTTGTTGCTGTGTTTGCTGCTGCCTGCCTCACGGCTGCTGCTGCTGCTGTACGCGGGGACATCCCTCTGGCCCTGAAGTCGCTCTCCGTAAGGGTTTAGGGTTTAGGGTTTAGGGTTTAGGGTTTGGGCTTTTTGAGTGGCGAGGCGGACCTCTTCCTGATGCCAGGGTTTGGGGTTTGGGGCACCGGGCAGTGCTTTCTCGTTGGGGTTTAGTGTGCCCCCAAGGTTCAAGAAGTTAGGGTTTAGGGTTTAGGGTTTAGGGTTTACGCGCAGGTGGCAGTTTGCCAGCTGGTTGTCTTCGGCCTCTGGGGTTTGGCGAGTGTTGTTTTGGGGGTTTTGAAATTGCCCGACGCCCCCGAGGCAGCAGAGGAGCTCGCCGGCGTAAACCCTAAACCCTAAAC